TGAAGGATTCAGCACTTCTTATGTTTTTTTTATCCATTTTTAGACAGCGATGAGATCAGCTACACACTCTACAGAAGCCCAGAGTTACTGTTAATATCAAAAATATAATGCTGCTTGAGATTTTAACATTTAAGACTGTGAGTGTAATGGATCTAAAACTGTTTAAATCTCTACAGCCTGGTAACATGGAGACTTTAAAAACAGCAGCAGAAGGTTTCAGTAGTGTAGTCTAATTTGTTCTTTTCATTTAATAACAATCCATATTATATCAACAGCTACATTCACCCTGGAGAGAAACTAGTGAGGGAGACCATCAGGACCAAGCTGGATTTCCTGGGTCCAGAGGTTTGGAGAAACTTCTTCCCTTTCTTTCATCACAGCTGTCCTGTGCCAGAAGTTCTGTTGACCCACTGAAAGAGGTATAATTTAAGAAACACCAGGAACACTGAAGCTCATGGCATTGATCAAGATCAGGACTCATGATCTTCACCAGCAGCTCCCTCACAGGGAAATCTTCAGAGCTCCTCTGTAGGCCCGCCAAAGAAGATGGATAAACCCAGCATTTCATGAACACTGTGATGGAGACCTTTGGTTTGTGTAATGTTATAAATACTCAGATACTCCCCAGAGGCTCTGGACTTTTACATAAACATAATATATTCAGTCCTGTAGAAAGTTGTATATTTAAAAATATATGATCCTCTCTGGTTACTCTGGTATGAATAACTCTGAATCACTTTATGGTAAATAACACACCATCTGCAAAAAACTGTGAAAGAATTCCAGATGACAAGTTTGTAGTTCAGCATACAAGTGACGACCTTTGACCTTCATTGGGTTTTATTTAATTGTGTTAGAGAAACTCAAACGTGCTCTTCATGCAGCTGAATACATCAAGTGTTTAAAATGGAAGCTGTGCAGGTCTGAGATCAGCAGCTCTCTGAAACGCCAAACTGAGGTCCTGGTAATGCTGATATATAGTGACACAGTTACATGGGTGATTAATCCTTTTGTTTTTTTGTCTTTAACTTTATCAATAAAACAGCTGCAGCTTTCACTACAGCACATGTGGTACTTTAACCTTTGCACTGTTTCCATCAGTTCATTTTGCAGTTAACATGTGAACATGTTGGATGATCTGTCTGCTGTCACTGGGTGGTGCTGAGGTCTGAATCTGAGGGCAGCTCCTGTAGTCACAAAGAGAACAGAACCATCAAACTCAAATATAAATTTTATCCCTCAAAATTGAAATAAAGCTGATTCTTCTGTCCTCACACACTCAGGATCTGAAGTTCTTCTCTTACATTTTTTCAGTATTACAGTTCACTGTTAGAGATGGACCGATCCGATATTACGTATCGGTATCGGTCCGATACTGACGTAAATTACTGGATCGGATATCGGAGAGAAATAAAAAATGTAATCCGATCCATTAAATTTCAAAAAAGCAGCTCACAAAACTTGCAACACGGCGTAACTCGGCTCATAACTGTAGCACGTTGGAGCAGTGTGGTCAGGTGATAGAGCGACTGTGTGTATTTGTAGCATCGCTACCAAACCAGCATTTCATCTCCGAGGAAGTTTTCCCAGAGAGAAGTAAAGCAAGTGTGTAAGTTCATCTCTGAATGTTTGTAAAGCATTCCCACGTTAAGCTTAACAACCGATATAAGGAGCGACTGCCTCTCTCTCTCCCTCTCTCTCCTGCTGCTACTTCAATGTGAAACTGATCGATGATCAGCTGATCGGCTTTTCTGTC